CCATCCATGCCCAATACGCTTGAAGGTGTTGAAAAGGGAGCCTTTACTTGACTTGACTTAGTAAGCGTTCTTTGAGTGTTTTCTTCGAGGCATGCAGGAGTGTTAGGAAATGAACAGGCAGACAGATTGCCTTTTTCTGCACCAATGGGTGGTGAATTTATGCATGGAAGGCTAGATGCGGCTAATACTCTTTGGTAGAAACTTAACAACGCGGAGACACGAATATATAATTATAGTTTGGAAAAGATGGTACAGCCAGGAGTTACTACAAGATGTGGCCAACGCTCTACACTCAGAGGAAAGGTAAGACGGGCATTAATCAAACTGTCTCTAGCACCATAATTACTGGCGCTCTTCGCTGGCTTCTGAAGATGAGGTGTGTATAGGAATATCTCGAGTGCCATGAAGTCAGTTTTAGCTCAACATTTAACAACATCCCATTTCAGTAGGCCTCTTCTAGTCACCTTTTACTCAAGCCTGATTACAGTCATTGAGTTTACTCTTTCTCTCCCTCCTTGCCTCCCTCTTTCTTCCGCCCTGGCAACTGAGACACTGGAACCCACGCGATAATTTAGTTTTTCACCACTACCACAAGAGAATATATGGAAGTCAAAGACATTCAGCAAACACGCAAAACTTAAAGTGTTTACCTCTGGTGTGATCCCAGTGCTAACTCATGGACGCCAGAGTTGGAAACCAAGGATAGCTCTAGATGAGAATTTTTACAAATTTGAGAACAAATGGCTTAGAAGAATACTAAATCTCCACTGCTCAGATTTTAGATCCATTACACACACTAAAAAAGACAAGAGACCAAGCAAAATAATGTATCCAAATTTATAAGAAAGCGCCGTTGGAACTACATAGGCCATGCACTCAAAATGGTTAAGACCACACTTCCCCACATAAAGCCCTAATATGGACACCAGAAGGGAAAAGACAACGGGGAAGACCAAGAGAAGCCCAGCGATGAACCATCATCAGGAAAGGCTCAACCATGGGCTCAATAAACAAACCAAGACCTAAAACAGGTGGCAACGAACCGCCAGAGACGAAGAGCTAAGGCCCTATGCGCAGTTCCAGGTTCTTCTTCTTCTTCCAGCTAAAAACTCCGGTGGAAAGTTCTGGTTGTTCGTCCACTTTTGGATTGCAGTCCTATTCTAAAACCTAAGTGTTGCGTGTGCATCTGTTTGACAGATCTGACTAATTTGTATGCAGACTGTTGGTTTCTTGCCTGTCAGGCAAATGCACTCCAACTTCGAAGGAAGCTACCAATTAGTCGACTATTACGACACGCTTTTGGGTAGACAGTGGGTATGATCTTGTTTTCCCAACAATAGGGCCCTGGAACCCACACGGGAATTTCTAGGTTAAAAAAAGAAAGACTTACTAACTGACAGAAAGAAGCAGGAGTCAATGTAGGATACTGGGAAATCAGTCGGCACAGAAGAACAGGAAGAGATGATAAACAAATAAGAAAAGTAAAAGGACTCTTTTCAACGCCTAAAGACGTATTGGGCATACAGGGCTACATCTACACTTTATAGACCAATTAGAACTTGGTCAATCCAGCCGCATTTACTTCCTAGGACTATACCTGTACCACGTAAAGCTGGGTCGACCAGGGAGCCAACGTCAAATTTTTTTTTTCTGAAACAAGTCCGGCTCCGAGGTGTTTCGAACACACGACTTTCCTATCCAGTCTAGCTGCTAAATCACGGCTACTTCCCCGCGTGTAACAAACAAGTTAGAAAGAGCACTCTGAACTGAAAACGAACCGATGTAAACTGTCATTTGTAAGCAGGAGAAAGATATTAAATTGTATGAAACTAAAGTGTAACTAATTATAACTTGAGTTCAGAAAGAACAATCCAATGTTAAAATCATATTACAAATAGAGAAGACCATACCAATACCGTATAGCAGGTCTTCTCTTCAGTCGTTGCTGACTAGTGGAATAATTTTACGAGTATGGGCTACCTTATTGTCATCATCATCATCAATATCATCATCATGTGGCTGACATACATGATTTGTTGGGTGAAAGGTGCAGTCACCGCAGGCTAGCTGTAAATTACAATTCAACCTACCAACTCCAAAATATATAGAGGGAGCTGCCATGGAGTAGCGGATACCACATTGGTCTGTGAATTAAGCGTCTAACAACGGTACTACTGCTGCTCCCCAATACAAACGATACATCAAGAGTTAGACTGGTAAACGAAGGAGACGACGTGGTGTTGGTGGCAAGACGCCCGCCTGCGGATCGGAAAGTCATGGGTTTGGGTCCTGACGGAGCCGCACTTTTTATTCAAAAATGCCCTTGACTTCCAGGCCGAACCACCCTTGAGTGGGTACGAGGTGCAGTTCTGGGAAGTAAAGGCGGCCGGCGTCATGCCCACCACATCACTCACCAAGTGCCGATTGGTCTATAAAAATACAGTACTAGCCCTTTATTCCCAATACAGCTAAAGGAGTGAAAAAAGAACCGTTACACAGATACACGAAAGAAACAGTTGATTTAAATGAATGAACTGAGGAACATCTTCATGTTGAGCGATGGCTATTTTTTCATGCGTTCAACGTTAGACGCCAGTTGGCACGATTTGTTGCAGTCTACAGCTTGACCCCGATATCTGCTCGTTTCGGCTGAATACATTTAAGTTGGTCAAACCTCTAAGTATTCGCCTTTTACGACATTCATGGGGAAGGGGGTGGTTGGGAGGGAAAAGATGTATTATTTTTTTTCCTCCCAGTGTAGAGCCAAACCGGAAGTGCAGGACTACGATAGGTAGGTAGGTAGTTGTACCCCACCAGGATATCACACGAGCGATAAACACCTGGTGACTCAATGTTTCACCATGCAGATGAGGATTACCGGTAGAGATCCCTAGAAAACCCTTCAGCCAAATGTATATATGAATATAGCCGGGCCATTAGTAAGGCCCGGCTATATTCAGGGCTCCCGGCAAAAGCCAGGGTGGGGCTTCAAAATAAAACAACAAAAAATTGCACCCTACGAGGAGACGACTTCGTTAGTAGCGTGCCTAAGGAATATTCTTCTGTTTATAATTAGGGGAAACTAATGAATGTTAAATT